ATTATGTTTAATTATTTAATTAAACATAATGCTTAATTACCAAAATTATTCCGGACGTAAACGGGACGTCGAAAATAATTTTCGGTAATCTTGACTGAACTGACTGAAAATAATTAATTCCGAAAATTAATACTCGACAATATTAATATATCGGAACTAAAACATGATTTATACTAATAAACTGACGGGATATTACAGGATGAGGGGTCAGCGGTTGGGGGAATCCGTGTCCTTGGAGGGGAATTCAATCTGTAAGTTTTCAATGATTCTGAATCAATTACAATTAATATTGCAATCTTTCCTAAAAAATTAGTGAGTTTCTCACAACTCAATGCAACAGATTATTGGAGTAGTGAATTTGTCCCAGCACTACGTAACCGTCCAGATCTTTTTACTCAAGGGGACGATATGTGTGTTTGACCCCCTACGGCATACGTATCAAATATAGGAGGACGGGCACATTCGCGAATTCCGCGTCATAGCACTTCGAAAAATCCAAATTCTAATTCCACTGATTGCGATGCATGCGGGAGTTAGAGGGGGTGAACGAAAAGTTCGAATTGAAATTCATGGACCCTAAAAATACTATCTTGCAACATGATAGAATTTCTTGTGATGTATGCGCTGTGGCGATGGTACGAACATTGCTAACGAGTAAGAAGCATTTAAATAAGTCTAACAAGCAGTTGGCTGAGAAAATGAGGCGCACAATTGCTCGACAAATTTTTCAGTTTAGTACAGAACCAGAAACAATTACCACCCCAGTTCTTTAATGATTCATGTAATACATTTTTTTTTACATTTTATTATATTTTTGGTGTTTGTTGTATGTATGTGGCATTTCTCATACCTGAAAGAAAAAAAATAAACTAAACTAAATGATGAAAGATGAAAGAAATAAAAAATAAACTTTCGAGTAGAAGTCGAAGGTGGTATGCGAGCAATATGTGGCAATTCGCATACTCCATCTCATAACTGAAATAACTGAAAGATGAAAGAAATGAAAAATAAACTTTCGAATAGAAGTGCGAAGGTGGTATGCGAGCAATATGCGGCAATTCGCATACCCCATCGCATAACTGAAAGATGAAAGAACTAAAAAATAAACTTTCGAATAGAATTGCGAAGGTGGTATGCGAGCAATATGCGGCAATTCGCATACCCTATCTCATAACTGAAATAACTGAAAGATGAAAGAAATAAAAAATAAACTTTCGAGTAGAAGCGTGAAGGGGGTACGCGAGCAATATGCGGCAATTCTCATACCCCATCGCATAACTGAAACAACTGAAAGATGAAATAAATAAAAAATAAACTTTCGAGTTGAAGTGCGAAGGTGGTATGCGAGCAATATGCGGCAATTCGCATACCCCATCGCATAACTGAAATAACTGAAAGATATAAGAAATAAATAAAAAATACACTTTCGAGTAGAAGTGCGAAGGGGGTATGCGAGCAATATGCGGCAATTCGCATACCCTCTCGCATAACTGAAGGATGAAAGAGATACGAAAAAAACTTATTATGCACCAATTCTGCGAATAATATGCGACGTTGGTATGTCGCAGAATAATTTTTGCGACTAATAGTCGCAGTTCATTTGCCTAACAAAAATTAATTATTAATGGGCGACGGACCGCGATTGACCGAATCGTACAACAAATCTCCGCATATTCGTCGCAGAACAGTCGCATACTTTAACTCATAATTTTCTCGCTCATGCTCATACCGGTCGTCTATCTATCGTATAGCTTTTCGCATATCTCTTCGTAGTTTCTGGGGTGAAAAACTTAAATTTTTATTGGGCGGTGTGAAAAACTTAGCAGGAGTTTAAAATGGGGTGAAAAGAGCTATTTTCTCTAGATATATTTACTAAGTGCTTTCTAGGATATAGATATATTTACTAAGCAGTGTGAATTAAAAAAAAAAAAAATGGTTTGGTTAGATTTTAGTGGAATTTTGAATTTGTATTCAAATAATATTTAAAATAAAATTATTAAAGTTGATTTGAGGTAAAAACAGTATGATTTTCAAATTATGTGAGTGGATAGATAGTGAATTAAAATTGATGTGATTTGTAAGTATGATTTATTGATATTATTTAATTATATTTACAATATTGAGGGTAGTGAAGTTGAGTTAGATTTTGATTTAGGATTGAACTAAATTTTTTTGGATAAATATATATATCCGATCGTGGCCT